GGCCAGCAGATGGCATGGTGGTTAGGGCACTGGACTCCCATGTGGCTGACTGTGGTTCAAGTTTCAGATCTGGTGGCTTAAAACTCATGCTAGATGCATATGCATGCATGCCCCAAATCCCCGGAGGTAAATAGGGGAGAAGAGATTGTGGTGTGGCCATCCTTCCCCAGGGGTGATTTCTTGCTTTCTCTTTCTCTGTCTCTCCGGAGAGCACAAGTGTCCTATAGCAAAGATCTCTCAAAAAAATTTATGCAATTATTTATTTTAAAAATAATTTGGCCTATGAACAAATGATTTTATTTTCTCTTTCTGGAAAGTAAGAAGATATGATGAATAATATAGATAAAAAAGGATGTTGAAATTTTGGTAACATACAGAAATATAAAATACTATTTTTATAGAGAGAAGATAATAATAATAAAAATTATCATGAGACTGAGCAATCATTTAACTTTACTGATTTTTTTTTTCCTGAAAGAGGCCACTATTAATCATTTCTTGCTATTCTGAGCTTGTATTTGTGCTGCTGCAGATTTCTGTGCTCTTCTTTGTCAGTTTGAGCCATTCCTTGGTGCGAAAGTGACAAGTAGTGATGGTGGGAAACTGACAGAATGAGGCGATGAGTCTTGCTCATTTTTAGGGATGGGGGTGGAGATACAGAACTTTCAAGTGTTTCTTCCACCATTTTCAGTGTGAATGCGTACCCTGTCTAAAACGTATGTCAGACAAAATGTGATCTGTACCATTCCTTACCTTTTTAGGCACCTCTTTCTTGGCAACAAAACAAAAGAGAACACGCCAAAGTTTGCAGGCAGAACCACCACAACCCATTCTATGGTTGTCTACTCTTAAAAGAGTTTTCTTCTCTTGCCTTTGTGTTTCCTAGCTAGGCCAATGAGAGAGCGGTGACCTGGGATACTTAGGCATTCTTCCGCAGTGGCTGCATAATCTGCGAGGTGCACTTGAGCAGGCAGACTTCTCTGGCTTGCTTTCGTCCCACTTCTTTAACATCATTACTGCCCCTCTCAAGCCTACTGCTCCAATACTCCCATCTGTTCATTAATTTGGGAGAAATTTTCTTGTCCTAATGCAGGAACCTGGTTTATATTCTTCAATACTAGCTTTGGCTAGTTCTCTCAGTTTGTTTATTATTTTTTTTTAATTTTTAATGTTTTAAAAGTACATTTTGGTATAGAAATCAAAGGATTCAAAGATGGGCTTGGGCACAACCTAGGCAGGTGTATGGAGGTATATGTACAGAAGAAAAAGTGTGTGTGCTGTCAATATAACACCGAGACCCACTAGACTCCCTCCGATCCTATTCATCAAAAATAGTTCATGAAGGCCGGCAGATTTCATAGTGGTTAAAGGACTTGATCCCATATGGCCAGCTCCAGGTTGGAGTCCTGGATCCCATGGTTTGAGAAACGTGCCAGGTGCATGTGTTTGTGTGCCTACAATCCTGAGAGGAGAATGGAGGAGAAGGGATTGCAGTGTGGCCATCCCCTCTGGGGGCAGGGAGAGGGGTAATTTCTTACTTTCCCTCTCTGTCTCTTTCCAGTGAGCACATGCAAAAAAAAATACATATATAAAAAAGAAGAAAATTATAATTCATGAATAAATATCTGCTCCAATATAAAACCATTTTTTAAAATCTTCATAGAAATGGGACCAGCAGTTGGTGTAATGGCTATATTGCTGAACTCCCATGTAGCCGATTGCGGTTTGAGTTTCGGACCCGGTAGTTTAAACTCATACCGGGCGTGTGTGCGTGCGTGCCCAAGATCTGGAGAGGAGAATGGAGAAGGGATTGCGGTGTGGCCATCCCCCTGGGGGCTGATTTCTCGTTTTCTATCTCTCTGTCTCTCTCTGTCTTTCTGGTAAGCATGCACACCCTATAGCAAAAACCTCTCAAAAAAAAAAAAAAAGAAAAATCGTCATAGGAATGATGGCCACTGAAGGGAATTAAGAGTGAATAGTCATGATGATTTCAGATGTTTAGGAATTCTGAGCCTGGCGTAATAGAGAGTGAGTCATTTTTAATAGGCACATGCTACCCAAATGTCTCTGTAGTGTTTAGGGCTATAGCACGTGGACTCTTGTGGCAGCTCGGCACCTTCGCCAGGGGCTCTCTCTCAATGGTTGCCCTCCTGACCTCTTGTTTGCCTGCTGGTACATACTTGGCTAGCCTTCATCAGACATAGCACTGCATCCAGTACCTTCGGGAAAAAGAAAAATCAGAGAAGAGACTGTTCAGAAATGGACTCAGTAAGAGATGAGATTAGAGGAGAAAGTGGGATTTTTTGGGGGGGGGTGTCAGGGTTTGAATCATATAGTCAAATTGGTCAGTCAGTAAAAGCTAGTTTGGTTACAAGGATAAGAAATTCATTAAGACCAATTTTAGAAAGGGAAATTTTGAAGGTGATCTCCATGTGATTCAGCCTTGAGAAATAAAGCTAGATGTTATAAACTAGAAAATTATGAAGAACAATGTACAACGCAGGTACTATGAAACCCCCATGCACGGTGCCACCTGATCGCAGTTTCTGTGTGTCTTAGGTCCGAACAGTGAAAGAGAACATCTGACTGACTAAGCCTGTATCAGGTGCCCATTCCTGCCTCAGTCATCCAAAATAAAGGCAGGTCCCGGGCACACACATTACTATCTAGGGCCTGCTTCGTTACCACCCATCTGAAAACCGGGGAGTGATTTCTGATGGACCGGCAGTCGGCCCTCATATATTTGCTATAATACCAGCAGTGTACAAGGAATTGTATTTGGCAATGAGTAAATGTAGTAAGAACTAGAATTTATCACATGTCTGGCACCACGATAAACTTATACGTGTTTAACCCCGTGTCCCTGTTGTGCATGTGCTCTAATTATCCATATTTACAAACAAGGAGATCGAGGCTAAGAGAGAGCTAGGGCATGGAAGTCTGGCTCCACATCGAATCTAAAGCCTATTTTCTTAAACACAAAGCTGAGAGCTTTTGTTCTGACATATGAAGTCAGTTCTTTATGGTGACAATCTAGCTGGAAAGATGGGATGCATAATCCCACACGCAATATTAGAAAATTCACGACACATTTTTGCATAGCAAAACATAGAAAAATACATCATGACCTTCCTCATGATCTAATAGTGAAACAAGATTGCATCATGAGGAGATAACTTTACGTGTAGAATGAGTTGTGTGTGTTATTAGATTCCAGAGGAGGAGGACAGAACGCTGAGCTGCGGCGGTCAGGAGGAAACGGGCTCTCACAGGTTTTGAAGGATGGAGATGAGAGTCCCGACAGCTGCGCAGGACTGTGTGAGCTCGCGGCTCACCTTTACGCGCTGTGTCTTACCATCATCTGGGGAATGTAGAGCGAGCTCAGCCTCCAAGTCCTTGGCATTCTCCGGTCCTATGACCTCCTCTTACATGCCCTGCCCCTCCCCGCAGCCCCGTCTTGCCCAGTGACTGCCTGCACTCCAGCACATGGACGCTTGGGCCACTCGGCACCTTCTCCAGGCTCTCTCTCAATGGTCCCTTCCTGCTGGTGCATACTTGCCTAGCCTTCAGCTCCAGTGTCCTTCTTTGTGGAGTTTTCTTTTGTTCTTCATTTTTTTTTAAAGAGGTTTTTGCCGTAGGGCACAAGGACTCGCCAGAGTGAGAGACACACAGAGACAGTGAGAGGGAAAGTGAGAAATCATCCTGGGGGGGATGGCCATGACGCAATCCCTTCTTTCATTCTCCTCCCAGGATCTTGACCCTGCACACGCATGCACACAGCATGATTTTGAGGCTGAGGCCAGGACTCGAACTGTGGTCAGCTGTGTACAAGTCCAGCAACATAACTGTCACGCCAGCAGCTGGCCCTATCCTTTATTCTTTGGTACTTCCCCTTTCTTGCCATTCAGAGGCTCTCCGTCTCCTTCCTGCTCCCGTATGTCTCTGTTTCTGAGGTTACCCGCCACGCGGCTGCGTTTGTATCTTTCACGTTTGTTTCCTTCTTTTACACCGGGAGCTCCCGCAGGTCAGGTTCCTTTTCTCTGTTGTTCTTGCTGCCCCAGCACTCCGCCATGTGCCTGGCGCACAGAGGGCACTTTCTCAGTACGTATGGAATGGCTAGATGGATGAGGGAAGGGAATGGCAGTCTGTGCATGTGGTAGCCACAACTGTGGTTTTCGTGGTGTGATAATGAGATCGATGTATTACTGAATAGTACACCAAGTACTTTGTCATGAATTTCTGCTTCAGCTCGGTGCTGTCAGGCCTCTAGGGGGCAAGTGATTTAGTCAGGGAAGCGAAGCCTCCAGGGGCAGGAACACCACGTCAGTGAGTGGTAGAGTTGGATTTCTGAGTCCAGCCTTGGCGTTTGCTGTAACAGGGAGCATGAAGTCTGGCTGGTTCGGGGGAAGCTGCCCGGATGAGCTATTACTCACCTTGAGCACGTTTTCCAAAGGGGTAATATTTTTACCCAGTTTTTAGGTAATATGATTTTTTCTGTAGACACCGAGGGAAAGATTTCACAGGAAATCATGTGAAAGTAAGACAGAGACTCCCATAGAGGACATACTAAGTGGTGGGATTTACTTTTCTGTGCCAAGTTTCCAGCACACTGCTGGGCAGGCTGCGCCTCCTAGACTGCCCCGGCTCAGGCGCAGGGTCTTAGAGCTGCCCTGCCTTTGTCTTACTGGGAACCTTGAGCGCTCTGAGAGCCCAGCTGGGGCACAGTGCCCAGACTGAGGCCGAGGGACTTGCAGAGGGGGTGGTGAGCAGATTTAGCAGACTTAGATGTTTTATTCTCTAGCCACAGTTAGGGTGCCATTCTTAGCACAACGATGAGTATGCAGTAGGTTGTATTAGACTGTACGAAAAGCTAGTGTTATAGTTACCTTTTAATCTTACTAATTAGTCAAGAATCAAGCTTATCATAAAACTCTAGAAAATCCAAAATTAATTTTCTCTCTTGTTTTCTTCCCTCCCTCCCTCCTTTCCTTTTTCCTCAGATGGCTTCCCTTTATGTCTCAGGGCATAATTCATTCTGAAATTGAACTTTATCTTCAAGGTGAGGATTAATGAAACCGTCAGTTGAAGAAGGTACAAGATGATTTTGCCACCTCTGGATGCTGCGGAACACGATTCCCCAGTTGCCCCAGACGTTTCCTTTGATCGTTTACCTTTGTATTGGATTTATAGTTATTGCTCACAGTGGAAATAAAAACATACGTAAAGCTGTGTCTTGGCAATGTCGTATGCCCTGCCCTAAGTTAAAAACCCACCTAAGGATTTGCCACTGTTATTCAAGAGTTAAACTCACTTCATTTTTCTGCCACTTACAATGTCATCAGACGGATCTATTATTAACTGCACTTCACTTTTATTTTTGCAGAAATGCAAATAAATCATCAACCTAAAATACAAGAGGAAGCAAATGGTAAATGTTGTTGCCACTTTTCATCTTTTAATCATCTGAAATAATCTATTTCTGTTTCAAGATTACCTGCTTTGCACATTTTCAAAGTACATTTTTATTGAACTTAAACTATTGATTGAAAAATATTTGAAATGGGTATAAGAATAAGCATTAAATTACAGTCTAATTTATAAAGAAACTAACCTGAGAAACTTGCTTTTCTTCTTTAAATGCTTCTCTTCGATAACTATATGGAAAAAATCATATTTTAACTGATTTCTTATAATTTCTAATAATTTTGCCTCCTTTTTACTCATTTGTATATCAGTCTCTCTGTTTTCTTCTTCCTTTAAAAAAAAATTCCAGAGGGTGTGTGTACTCACGAGAGAGAGCTAGAGGGAGGGGAAGGGAAAAAGCACCCCCCTGTGGCATGGCCATGCCACAATCCCTTTTCTTCCATCTCTCCTTCCTTTGGGGAGTTTGGACACACAAACACACACACACACACACACACACACACACACACACACACACCCCTGGTGTATTTCTTAGGCCACTGGGTCCGGTACTCGAACTGTGCAGTAAGCTATGTAGGATCTAGCCACCCTAACTATCCATGCCCCTCTCTGGCCCTCTCAGTATTCTTTTTAAATTATTTTGTGATTAGCTTTCTGTATTAGATTATTTTCAAATCAACCTGCAATTGCATTCTTAATATTTTTACATTTTAAGGTTGATCTGAATAAGATGGAAAAATACAGATTTCTAGTATACATACCAGGCTAATAAATTTCGATATTTCAAAAACGTGTCTACTTCATGCAGTAATTTGAAACTAGGCAGGGGTTAATGTTAACATCATTATATTCAAAGTCCTTTAGTGATTAGGATGGTCACTGAGACACAATCCATTTACGTCCACTCTGACAAACCACTTAAACTAGCATTTACATCTGTTTCTATTAGAAATTATGCTTAAGCTCATACTTTACTTTTTTTTTTTTATTATTAAGAAAGTCTATGCATGTGTCAGATTGTTAGCAGGGCACAATTTTACTAATGTTCCAGAATCTCTTAGTAATTTTAAGGGGTCTCAAAAGGTCTGTGGCTGACAATAAAACCTTAAGTAATACAGCTTGAAATGGCATTCTAAGTGGAAAAATTATCCATAAATCCCAGAACTTGGTGGGAGCACAGATGAATAAAAAAGGCTAAAACTTTTAAACCAAATGCTATAATAAAGGCATAAAAATGTCAAAAGTCCTTTGTCAATAGCATAAGCCATGAAATCCACATCGCTGATACCTCACGTAATGAAGTTTCATTGTACAGGAGAGGGGTTTACCCAGGCGTTTGTTAGATATCATTCACCATATCATTTTCATTAAAAGTAACCATTAAGAAATGTTTTCCTGTAATTAATATTTCTGTTTTCTTAGTTTCTTTTCTGGTCTCACTAATATGTCTGTTTCTTATAGTACGAAAGTGGGTTAGTCACAGACCTTAGTTCATGAGGCACTGCCGTTACTGTCTGTCAACAATCTTTTATTTCATTCTGAAGAATGTGATCTTTAATGCTTTTGGGGTATGATTCTATAAATACACACATAGTCTCATAGTTATGTGAATGAGCTAATTTATGTTGTGGAAAGAACTTGGAGATGTTAAGCAGTAGAATCGGTTGAGGTGGTTTTCCATTAGGGTTGTGTTGAAAAGGCAATGTGGGAGGACCAGCAGTTAGTGTAATGGCTATGTCGCTGGACTCCCACATGGTCAACCGTGGTTCAAGTCCCGGACCCGGTGGCTTAAAACTCATGCTGGGCATGTGTGTGTGCGTGCCCAAGATCCCCAGAGGAGAATGCTGTTTCAGTTTAAGGGTGTAATGGAAAGGAAGGGATTAATTGAGTTACCTTTAATTCCATTTGAGGTCATTACTACTAATTCCAACTATATGCTAGTCCTAACTTCTGGCCATGTGTAATTAATTCCCAGTTATCTAAGACATGTTTTCTAAACCCTGATACCTTATAAGCCTAAATATATTTAATTGCAATAGTAAACCCATTCTTCATAATAAAACAATCTTACCAAGTTAGACGGAACTTGTTTGTAAGATAACATTTTTAATATACATTGTATTAAATTTCCTGTTTCAGTGTCTTTTGCATATTGCTCTGAAATCTAGCCATTATGTGAAAACTTCTCATTAATGCTAGTAAATTTATATTAATACTCTAATAATAATTTAAATTCTAATCCTAACAAATTTTCTCAAGATACTTTTGTAAAGATCTGTGAAGGCAGCCGTATCTCCTAATGTGCCGTGTAGGTGCGTGGCGCACTGTGGAGTAGAAGCAGTAATGCGTTCACCATAGCGGACGCATGGTTCTTGCCGGATAGACTGAGTTAGGTCCATCAGGTCATCATTAGATAAATAACAATAGTTCTATCAGGTAGGTAGTATCATTATTCCACGTCACAGGTGATGAAACTAAAGGATGTGAAGGTTTTAGGACCAGCAGGTGGCATATTGGCTACATCACTGGACTCCCAGGAAGTCAGCCGCAGTTTGAGTCCCAGACCTGGCAGCTTAAAACTCATGTCAGGCACGTGTGCTTGCGTGCCCAAAATTCGGAGAGGAGAATAGAGCAGAAGGGATTTTGGCATGGCCATCCCCTCTAAGGGGGTGATTTCTCATTTTCAGTCTCTGTCTCTCCATCTCTCCAGTAGGCACACACGCTCTATAGCAAAAATATCTTTAAAAAATAATAATAATAAAGAACACAGAGGTTTTTCTAAACTTGCTTGGTGTTGCATGGTTGGGAAATAGCGTTGAGAATTTGAGTGCCAGCGGTTTGACTCCCAAGTGTGCTATTCTGCTTTAAAAGAACTGCCGCTTACTGCCCCGTCCACAATGTGTGTGCGTGTGAGTATGTATCATATATGTCTTTGTCTTTAGATCTATTTTATGTTACTTTTCTAACTTCTTAGGCTAGATTTGTAGATCTTTAGCTTTCAGGCTTATTCCAGACCCAAAGGAGAGGATGTTTTGGTTGTTGCGGAGGGTCCCTGTCGTTACGGTTATTCTCCGTATTCATCTCTTGGTTCATCCAGAGCTGTGGAGGCAGACTGAGGTTTTGCTTAGCTCCCTGTGCTGAGAGTTATTTGGAGCCTAAGCTTTCACTGAGGGGTGTCACCCTTGGGGCTCAAAAGCCTCCGCGGCCACCCTTGTGAGAGCTGGAGCTCTGTCCTCTGGCCTGGAGCGCTAGCATTCAGCACACGTTCAGGCTCTGCCTTCTTGCCTGCCCAGTGCTCACCGCTCAGTCTCCGCTCGTGGTCCTTTTCTTATTGTTACTGTCAGGCAATGGGAGAGATTTTTCTTCCTTTCCTGGGAGTGGAATAATGTGCTAGAAAGCTTGGCACTTTTTTGTAACTTATGTGGAATCTAGTTGTGGTTTTAAAAGGGTTTAAAAAATACCACCCTAGGGACTATGGCTCGGAAGGGTAGGAATCTTGCCCTTGGTCCTGCAGTTAGTGAGAGGCCTGGTCTTGGATTCAGCTCTCCATCAGTGTATAAACTGCTCCCCTTTAAATGATTCAACTTCTTGCGTTTCTCAAGGATTTCTGACTTGAGGGACTTTAAAAATTCTTGAAACTGGGGCCGTCATGTGGCGTGGTAGTTGGAGTCACTGGTCTCCAACATGTCCAACTGCAGTTTGAGTCCCAGATCTGGCTGCTTGCTTTCTCACTTTCTCTCTCCCTCTCTCTCTCTGTCCCTCTCTGGTCAAATTTAAAATAAATAAATAAGACTTAAATAATTCTTTGAAGGGGAAGAAAATTCTTGGACTACTTGCCTGTTTATTTACAGGCAATGCTGAGTATTTGTAGTATGACTATTAGCAATTTGGTAGATTATCTATTGCAAATATTATTAAAATATTTTCTCCCTCCTCTTAATTCTATTTGTGCATGCATGCTTGACTAGACTCACTACCCAAATATTGTCTGTTCAAGGAAGGAGAATTAAATTTAATGATTAGTCTCAGCTAAACATAATTAAGAACATAAAATACCCTATAACATCATCATGCATTCCAAATCAAATGTAGATGGTTTGGTGGCCCCTGCTCTGATCATTTGGGCAGTTTTCTGTAAGGCTGTGGATAATGACAGGGTAGGTCCACTTCGGTGCCTGTTGTGTGAGTCTTATTCTCTGCCTAGGAAGACATGACATGGACGCCTGGGAGCTTGGGTGGGCCTCAAGGGCTGAGAGAGGTCATGTGTGAGCTGGGATGTCAACGACACCAACTCCAGGATCACTCCATCAGTCCCAACGTGCAGAGCCTGATACGGGGTTAACAAATTCCAATGGGGCTCCATGGGAAAAGACAGGTTAATGTGTGAACGAGTTGGAAATGGGACGGAGGGGTGTGTGCCTAGAGGACGTCCCTCAGCAGAGGCCAGCTATTTGCTGTGACCCAGTGTTGGGAGCCTAGAGCCTTTGGTGTAGACGTGTCAGGAAGAGTTAGTGAGCACCCATGAAGACCATGTATACTTCCTATGCCCTGGCCTGGCTTCAGCTTCATTTTGCCCTGGCATTAAAGAGTGGGCATTTGGTTGTTCACTTATGTTATGATGATCTTAGAGCACTGGTTCACACCTTTTTCTGTCTGAGACAAAATACTCATAATTCAATATAGCAATGGAATTTAATGGATTTTAACACTGAAACAGTAAAACTGTGCTCTCAGCGTCTTCAGACTAGTTAACGGCCATGAAAGAACCTATTCCTCAACCACTTTCTATTTATAGATAACTTACAGAGAGCATATGATTTGGGGTGAATACAGATAATCTGGGTAAGAAGGATGTAATCCGAGACAAAGTTTCTTGACCTTGGGTCTATTGACATCTTAGCCTGGAAAATCTTTGTTCTGGAGGACTGTCCTAAACATTGGAAGCACCAATTTGCTTAGCAACACCCTGCCTTCTACCCACTAGAGGCCTATGA